AAATAACCCTGTCCTCGCAGCTTTCAGCACACCTCCCCCCTTGTCACGTGAGACCGCTGGTTCATCACCCCGCTGAATGTGCCATCACCACCACCACTTCCCGCATTGGTCATGTGACCTCACAAACGCCTGTGTTCATATTTACATGTCACTCAATTGTACACACACAACGTGGTTGAGCGGTCTAGTAAACGGTTGTGCCTTCTCGACCTTCCGGGCTTCTATATTTTCGCGGGAACGCAGGGTAACGTATTGGGCCTAGATAATCGCATTGGCCCCGGCATGTTGTCTTGAACCATGCCGGGGCCCTCAACATTATGAAGTGCTAATGTAAGAGTAATTTTGAGTTTCATTCATGAAACAAACTCATTCGCTTCACGCTGGCGTCAAATGTGTATACTTTAGGGATTTTTATTTGAACCATTAAATTCGTCAAATTAATGTCATCCTTGCCGGACATTTAACTATAGAAATATTGATAAAATGGAAATGCAATCATCATATTAATCGTTTTTGTCATGCTGCAAAGAATGTGCGCAAAGGTGCTCTATAATGATATTGCACAGTCAGTGGTTTAAACACAGCTTATTTGTAACTAGGCGCCTGTTTTGGTGTAAAGTCCCTTGTCAAAATGAAAATAACTAGCCTGCTCCTAAACTCATTGGCCATTACACTCATCGGTTGTTCCTTCTTCGCCCAAATTGGTCTAAGACGTCCGATTTGTATTTTTGAGGCGTAACAAGCATGCCTCATCATTTTTTAAATAAAGAGTAATTTTCTCCTCGACCTGTCTTAATGTTCATGGCACAAAATGGTAGAAGCCGTAGACAAATAAATGACTTTTGGCTCTAAAAATTCCTATTCTCATATGCACCATGTGTGTGTGTATGTTGTGGACAAATGTAATCAGTCATGGGAAATTTTAGACAAATTTGGCCTTTCTAATGTAAGGGATTTTCTTCGCTACTGAGGAGAAGTGCCATTAGTTTGATTAGGTTAATTTTTACCAGGAAGTAAAATCGCACAACTGAGTATAACGCAACTTTCCGCGTATAACGGAGTGCATTAATTCTGTCCATCATTATCCGCTCGCACTTTTGTTGGAGATTACTCAGGTGGAAAAGGAAATGCGAAAGATGGCCGATTTACATAACCCATTTTTATTCAATAAAAAACCTGCCCTTTTGATAGCTTCTGTGTGTGATTGCTTGCTTTTTTACCATTTATGGTGACGCCACCTGCTTGTTACCTATTTTTTTCCCAAGTGAAGGGATTAATTTAAGAGCCGAAGTGGTTTTTTAAAAGTGTCCTGTTAATGAGCATTTTACCACCTTTGAGTTGAGAAAAACACAATAACAGAGACTAAAATTGAGACCTTTCTGATAGCATCAAGGAGTGTTTTTAAAATCTGAGCACATTCAGCGTATACTCTGATGCTGACACAATACAATCCTTATTTTATTCACTATTCCGGCAGTTATAGTCCTGCCCACCTTGTTCGGGCCACAACAGAACAGCTTACTGCAATCAGGAATAAAGCTAAGCCACCGTGCGAACTAAGAAACCTGTTTTTGTAATTTGATGCAAGTTACCATGGATTATTGGCTCATCAATTTGGCAACTTCTACGCTCTTAATAAATCCTGTTTGATTCTTATGGTTTGAAGAGCTAAAATGTATCTCACGAGCAAATTGGAGAATAAAATCATTGGCTTTATGGTACTAATGCCTGCCCTGACAACCTCTGAAGAAAGTAGGCTTAAAGTGAACTTGTAATGAAGAAGTCAGCTCCCAATCGGTGACAAATTACTTTGAGGGAAAAAAGGTCGGCAAGCACCTGGTGCCATATTTCTTCCCCAATCCCGATGAAGCCCTTCGGGTGCCTGTTTGCACCGATCACGCCAGAGCTGCCCGCAACCAACGCGGACCCGCTGACAAGTCCATTAGTAAAATTATCCATGTAAAGCCATGGGATGTGTTGCTCTTGTCTGCCAATTAAGGGTCTGCGACCCTACAAGTTTTTTTTTAAATCTTTTCTGCCTTTGCTGAAGACAACGCGTCTATCCTGTCTTGCTTATGCGCACACCCTAACCCATTTTAATGACTTCTGACAGTCAGCAGGTTTCTACAAAATCCAGTACGGCATTTTCCATTTAAATCAGGATTTCCCTCAAATTCATGGCTGAGACCTAAGCTGCGCTAACCAATGCGACTTTGGATTCTATGTGTAAAATTAGTAATTGCGGCCTCAAAGTTCTAGTTAGATCAGAATGAGAGCTCGGAAACTTTCAGACCATGGTTGTGGTTGTGGTGTTCTTATAAAGGCAAATAAACAATAAATATTAAGCTCAAAAAAGCCCATTGAAAACGAGCTTACCGGCAATGTAACTCTCAGGACCCTTGATTTCCTGCGGACTCCCAAGCACACCGTTGACGAGCATTCGAGCGTTGAAACTTTTCTGGTGTCGGAAGTAAACAAATACCAGAATGGCCAGCAGAATGACAACGGCGAAGACAGCGGCAATAATTATTGCCATCGTTTTGTTTGGAATCCCACTCATGTCTCCGTTCCATTCGCCCATCCAGTCACTGCCAGGATAGACATTAGCCCCACCTGCTCCCTTGGAGGCCACTTCGATCCCATATCGGTTATGCATGAGAAGGGGGTCCGTGTAGGATCCGGAAAGGGACTTGGTACCACGAAGTATCCTCACGGTAACTGTAGAATTGAGACTCGTTGGTGTGCCCAAGTCGTAGGCTTTGACTTGGAAGGTGTACAAATTTGCGCCATTGGCATTAAGCGGAGGAAGGTTTTGCTTAAGGTAACAAATTCCCGCTGTCCGGTCAATAGCAAAGGGAAAGTTTTTCGCTACCCATGGTACACTCAAGTCAGAGGTGTTATCTGACACTGCCTCGGGTGTCAGTAACTCGTACTCGACAGTTGCATTCTCGCCCTGATCGCTGTCGACTGCTTCAATTGTGAAAATTGTCGTGCCGGCTATCATTTGATCAGGACTGAGCATGAACTCAGCAAGATTTCTGGGCGACAAGATCTGAGGGGGGTTGTCGTTTTGATCGAGCACCATGACGAGTACAGTTGCGGTGGCTGTGAAGCGCACCGCCGATTGACTTGGAGGCACTTCGCCACTCAGCGGGATATTGTCCATTGCGAGAACAATGAATTCGTAATGCACCTTCTTCTCTCTATCTAGGTGCCCTCGCAATCGGATAATTCCTAGACGAGGATCTATTTGGAATAAGCTCAATATCAGAGCATCAGCATTGTTCTTTTTGATTAGACTAGCGTCGTCAGGGAATTGGAGTTCGTTTGCTGCAAGCCTATACCTCACACGCCCGAAGTCACCAGTGTCGGCGTCGGTTGCTTTGACCCTCCCAACCTCAGCCAACTCGACGTTCTCCTCTACTTCGAAGTTATAATTGGTGGACTCGAATTCAGGGTGGCAGTCGTTTATATCGGTCACAACTATGCGCACCTCAGCACTGCTAGACAATCTAACATCGCCTGTTTTGTTTCCCGGGGTCTGATCCATAGCGAACACTGTGAATATGAATTGTTTGGTTTTCTCTCGGTCGAACGGGTTGATCAGGTAAAGGCTGCCATTCTCTGGATCAACGTCAATCAAACCTTTTGCGTTAGAAGAGAGAGAATATTCTATTTTCGCATTCAAGCCAGTATCACGATCGGTGGCGAGAACTTTGCCAATAAAGTACCCACTTGTAGCATAAGGCGGCTGATAACTTCGGTTAGAGGGCGGGAGGTTTTCCGGCACCTTGAATGTATAGACACTTGACGAAAACTGTGGCGGATTGTCGTTTATATCCTCAATGTTGACACAGAGTTCAACACGTGACGTCAGGCGTTTGGATTCCGTTTCAACATCCTGATTATCCGTGCAGGAGATGAGAACAGCTACAAGACTTCCTCCAGTTCCTTCTCGGTCTAGCGGGCCCGTTGACATCAGTTTATACATCAGCATTGAAGGACCACTTTTAATGCTTGGGCCATTTGTCCCCATGTTTGACCAGTCTGAATTCCCCATTGTAGAAATGGGCTCCAGAGAGAAACGTGAATCGTTCAAACTGCAGACGACTTCAGTGGTAATTGAGGTTGCATCGCTATCAACCACCGTAACTTGTGCTATCATTGAACGGCCCTGACCCTCTAGTAGAGTCCCACAAGAACTCTTTCCACTTTGTCGACGTGGAGCCGTTGTGATGTAATCAACGAAGATTTCCGGTGCGTCATCATTCACGTCAACGATCTTAACGAATACGGGAACTTGTGACGATAGCGACGGTGTACCAAAATCGTAGGCTTCCACAACAAATCGCAGTTGGTAAGAGGGGATATCTAGTGGACGAAACCTAAGCCTTGAATGGGGTATGTCCAAACTGCTGACTTGCAGCTTTTTGGCCGCTTCCAGAGCCCTCTTTGCTGCCTGTCGTAGTTGTTTTTCTGGTTTCCTTTGTACAATGAGCTGACCTGTGGTAAAATTTCTCCAATGATCAGTAGACAAATCTGAACCATAGTCATAAGGACTAACAATTTCAATGTCGAAGAGATTAGCTGCTGCTGCCTGCGCCTCCGAGTACGGCAGATTTGACGATTGGCCTTCGTTGCCTGGAATCCGAAAGTTAATCCGGTGGTTTTCATATTTTCCGTCTGCATCAGAGGCCTGCAGTTGAAGAACCACATGTCCAGGGGGATCGTCCTCAGACATAACGCCCATGTACTGTGTCTGGCTGAAGGTAGGTACATGGTCGTTAACATCCTCAATTATCAGGCGCACGGGAAGGCGGCCCGATCTCGGTGGCATTCCACCGTCCACCGCCACCAGTACAAATCTGTACTCCCTTCTCTGCTCATAATCTAAGCCAGAAGGAGCTTCTCCCGACATTCTGGAGGGGATAAGCCACAAACGTTTCTCTGACGTGGGCGACAGATGCCTAGGATCAACTTCCGTGGCTATTTCACCATCTCCTCCATGACCAATTTCTAGGTAAAAGAGATAGGCATCCTCTCCCTCCAGGCGATAATGTCGGATCCCATTTTCTGGCGCGTCCGAATCGACTGCCTCAGGCAGAGGAATGCGGATCTTTTTGTGGTTGATTTTTGATCCATACTGATGTGATGATGGATGACTCCCACTTGGAGTCTCAAGTACTCTTATCACATGCTCTTCTTCGTCCATAAACTTCGGTGCGTGATCGTTTATGTCGTCAAGGATAATCGTGAGTATGTCAAAAGAAGGCTCGCTCGGCGAACCATAGACAATGGACAGTTGAATGACGCAAGGCCGATGTAGAACATTTGGGTGCTGGTTCGCCGGTTCGTTGTCGAGATAAATCTCTCGTCGATCACTTACACCTCCTACACTGGCGAGGTCAATGCTGCCGCGTGGGTTGGTGGGACAAAGAGCATCTCGATCTGGGGGCGTCTGAACAACGAGGCCTCCACGTGTCTGATCGATTTTAAAAGATGACGCACCTGGGAGAGCAGCATTGCTGATGGCCAAAAGGCTGCTTCCGTCATTGCCACTGACTAATCCCAAGATTTGGCGTAAGTCGTTGACAACAACAGTTCCTTGCGGGGATTTTTCGACTAAGTGAAACGTCTTCGAACTTTGATGAAGTTGGGAAGCTAATGAGGGCAGGAAACAGATGTAGCAGAAAACTTTCACGAGTGAAGGAATATTATGCCTCATCTGGGTGCCAATCGAGCTTTGCATTAGCGGGCTCTAAAAAGAGGAAGTTGACATGCCAGGAAAACTACCTTGTCCAAGTAAAACCATCACCTGTGTGCATCATGTTTTTGAGACACGTATTGACCGACATCTAAAGGCTACCAATTTTGTCTTTTTCTCACAGTAATTGGCTTACTGTTCAAGGCGTTAGATAAAAATGCTGATTAATGAATTTAAAATTGGTCACTCTCCCTCCTCAGGATTTCCCCAGGGAAATGCGGGACAGCAAACAGCAAGATTGGTATTGATTTTTGGAAGAAAAAGGCAAATTACTTTGTGGAAAAAAGCAACAAATGAATTCAAAATACTTAGGTTGAAAATTGTGGCACACAGCTTAGGGCGACGGGGTTAATCACTCGCAGCAACTCCCCTTTCGGAAATTTCACACTTTCTACTCATCCCCGATTTTAGTCTTATTTACGACAAGTTAAATTTTTGACACAATTTCATTCTTTCCCATCACAAGAATGGAAAGACTTTGAAAATGCAACAAATGGCTTAAATTATTGCAAAAGCATGGCGTCTCCTCCAAACTGTTATGCAAAATGTCTTGGGAATTTTTCGCTTGAAATATTCCAAACTGTCTGATTTGGTATTGGTAACTCCATAACCTTTTCGGATAAATTAACAATTGTTAGTAGTAGAGTGAAAGGCCTTATTAGGACTTCGTCGGTATATTCGTTCGATTAACAATTTTATTATTTTTTTAAAAAATAAAAATGTTTTGGTATCATGTGTGCATGGCGCAGTGGCAGAATTCATAGTAGAAAATTAAGGGATATTGTAGATGACTTACCGACCAATAATATTTGCCTCGTGCACGGGGTGTGGCTAAATCACTGTAGACGAGAACATCCCATGTGTGACCTGGTGTGAAATCCGCAGAAAGTCCTCATCAAGTTGGTTACGTTTGAATGTAATGCATATCGCCTAAGTCATCATTCCCTCCCCGTCTACAGCGGCACGACGCCACACATTCCAGAAGTCACGCCCTCGCCCAATCAGGGACGGCCTTGCCTCAGCCAATCCCACTGAGCCTCGCCACACGTGTTTCGCTGAACCGCTGCTGTTAAACTCATGCCTGTGTGATTTCTCGAGCACATGACCTTTTTGTCTACTTTTACCTAAAACCCTGTATGATCTTGAAATGGAAAGTGTTTTAATAGTCAAAACTTCACTAAATTACGACGGAAATCTTACCATTTCGCTGAGTTGTGGGAGTGTTAGATGTCGTGTCCTTTGTGCTTCGTAATGCTCTTTAACCAAAGTTGACTGGTGATATGAAATGGTTTACAAGGGCCACCTAAATTCACTAGACACTGTCTAAGCAACCAAATTTTTGATGGCGATTCAATAGAAACCAACTAAATCTAGCTAAATACATGCACTTACCGGCTCAACATTTACCACGTGAAATGTTCGTCATTGACTTAATGCAAGTCGTCTAAATTAATACTGTAGATCAGTGGCCTTTAAATCAATATATTTATGATAGGGGAACTGAGATGTGGAAAAGAGATAAGTGGGACATGGAGTCGTAAGGGAAATCTGCACAAATATGAATAGTTGGCCTGTTTTTGAACCTCTTGGGAGTAGAAAAAGCAAGATACTTAGAGGAAATGGGTTCCAGGGGAATGACTAGGCTTGTAAAATGTACCAAAATATTCGGCTTTCTAGCCCCATGGCTCCTAAAATACAAAAAGTTGATTTGAGTTATTTGCGAAGTTCAATAACCTAGGTTTCATCGATAAATTGAAATTACAAAGAGCTTCTTTAACTATCAACGAGGGTAATTGTAGATGGCTGCACCTATAAGGCAACTGCGCCTTGAATGTTCATGGATTTTTAAGCATTCACAATATGTGAGATTAATTTAGTATTAAAATATCAAGAATTGCAGAGCTCCCATTGAAATGATTCCAACACAATTTTATGCAAGAAGGACACATCAGAGTGCCATTTCGAAGGAAGAATGCATGTGCCCTTGATGCCTTTGGTATCGCGTTGTTTGCGAGTGACTCACGAAATCTGGTCTGTGGTGTAGAGCTGTCAGAAATGCAATTGGATTTCCACTTTATTTTATCCACCTGCCTCTGGATGCAGAAATTCGAACCGCGAGAACTGTGCCCCAGCAATGGTCAAAAACTCTAAGCTACGCAAAGTAATCAACAGATTTTAATGTCAGTAAATATTTTTGTTATTACTTCTGCTGCTCTTAGATCAACAGGAAGATCATGGACACACATTCTAGTGACAAAATTATGTTAGTATAAATTAAATGCAGGCAATTTGGGGATTGTAGTAAACGCACCTTACAGTGATAAAATGGGACCCTAATATTGTGAACAAAATCGATCATCGGTGTGTGGGGTTACGAAGTTTTTTGGAGGTAACGCGGTACCACTTAGTGCTTCGAGTGCCATGAGTCACGAGAGAGGGGCGTTTTAAGGCACAACAGCCAGTCTCCTTGTTTTACCAAGCTATGTCATTAAATATATGCTAGTTACATGAAGGTCGGAAGTTCTTTAAAATCAAATTCCATGCAACCTACTTAAAAATTAGTCATCCTGTTTTTCTCTCCTACTGACCTCTAATTTTTACCGAGATTCAAAATTCAAGATAAATTTTTCCCTGGTGAGTGCATTAAGAAGACTAAAACGCGTTAATGCTAAATGAAAGACGTGGCCGATCAAGACGGAATTGATGTCAATAAAATCACACATCAAACTCCGATGCAATGTTAGGCCTTGTGTCTCTTCCTTTAATCTTAAAAGCGGTCATCAAACGTGATACACGTTGGCCCGAAGGTCGTCTATAATTCCCCTCCTGCTTGCACTTATGCGAATGTTTACCAAAAATAGACCAACCGCCTCCATAGACTACCAAACCCCCAGTTCCACAATTTGGACTAGTGAAAACCAATTTGATCATTCTTTCACTTTTTACTGCAACTGATTGAATTGGATTTCATTGAAACTCCTATTCACCATTACTTCTGATCTACCATCGCAATTTTGAAGTTTCGCAACTCTAAATAGATAATTTTTTTACGCTAACTGCAGACTGTACATTATTAAGCTGTCGTATTTTGATCCTAGCTAGACATACCATACTTTGAGGATGTTAAGACTGCAGTGAACTTTCATCGAACGACCGCGAACGATGCGTGTTCACGAGTTAATCGAATTTCATCGATTTTCGATTACACTTGACGTCCGAGATGCACTCACGCGCTGTGCTATAAAAGACTTGAATGGTCAAATGTAAATAAATCGTTGCATTTGTTATCATCTGTCTGGCCTTCCTTCTCGGGCTGTTACAGACTGCCGGTTGGCGTGGTTGTAAGGTAGCGCTAACGAAGCCGGCACAAGACCTCCACGCATCCTTTTCTCGCTCCTATATGTAGCTGTTGGTAGTGTTATGCTTACCTTGTGCGCGTCACTTGTGTACACGTAATTAACAAAGACAGTTGGCGTAATGAGTTGATTTACGTCATTACAAAAAAAGAGCAGCACATTTGAGCTGTGCGGACAGGAGCTACGACTTTGAAAAGCTTTAAACTGGCTACGCGAAATACCATGTTTTATTGATAATTCTGCCCCCTTGACCACGAAATCTGGCACTTGCGAGCCTTTTATAAAGTAAATTTAGTTGTAGGAAGTACGAGGCAAGCTCCTATTGTATTGACTTTCGGTAGAAATTAGGGTGAATTCGTATTCTAACGTCCAAATAGAAGGACCTTGGTACAATTAGGCATAAATTTGTTACCTGATAACTAGCAAAATATCTGTAGCCTTATATAAGAGGCTTATATTTTTGAAGGATTTAAGTTATCCCATAGGATTAGTAGGTTTTACCTGTCGCTACCAGCAAGTTTACTGTTTCCACTATGAAAGGCTCAGTAGCAGACTTGATGAATGTCAAACTTTTAGCCAATGACCAACTAACCAACAGATACACGAAGTGAAATATTCCATTTTTCTGTTACCTATTATATAAATTTGGCGCTATTCCTTGCCTCAGTGCTAAACCGACACACATTAAGTAGTGCATGGAATTAGGAAATGTTCAGCAACGACATATGTGCCGAGGAGTTGCCTTGGCAACATCCTTGCTCTTTTGCTTTCACGATTTGTTGCTACTTTCATGACAACACGCATTAATTTGATAGTGAGAAGTTAACAAAGTTGACAATTTAAATTGGTCGCTCATGGAAAATGTTACTCGAATGGAATTTCTTGTCAAATGAGCGTATTTTTCCATTATTTTTGTGAAGTAATTGACAGGAAAAGAATGTAATTTAACAAATCACAAACCGATTGGTTTGGTGAAAACATAAAAACTAAATATTTGATCACCTAAGAGGTTCATAAAGTTCATAGAAGGAAAAAAGACGTAGGACATTTACCAGAAAAGGCCATTAAATATATTTACTTAAAAACTTTTCTCCCTCAAATTCAAAAAAGCACCTATCTCGACATTCGGACTCATATGTGTGGTAATTGCAAAAAACGAAAGTCCATGTATGTGTAATTTGTCTATCGTCTGAATACAATGTGATGTCACATGCTACCTAAATGTTGTCATTAATGATTAAGTAGAATCACTGAGCATGGGTGTTGGAGAAGAGAACTGAATATCTGATTTCAAACATCGACAAGATTGAGGCTGTTTAGGTAAGCTCTTCTGTGGGTTGGCTGCAAAGTTCTTGCACATTGTCACATCCACAAAGACCCTCTTTAAAGGTTTAGTGAAACTGCCCTTTCAATTTTTTACTGTTCCATGAATTATTCCTGGTTTTCGTGCGTCTAATGATTTGCTAACACATACGTGGACATCTTGTAGTTTTATATTTACATTACGTTATTTTTCTGAGATGCTTTCCCTTTCCTTTCACTGCTTCATTTCCCTGAAGACGCTTCACCGCTGATATTGAAATATCCGTCATCCGGAAACTTGTGTCCACTTGTCATCTAACGTCGTTC